GGGGGAGAGAGGGGGCATGAATGGAGAGCACAAACATGCATACATAATGAGACCCATTCACAAAAATGCACAGAGGAGGGGGAAGGGGACTGAGAGGGGAGTTGGGTGTCTAGTCCAGGAAAGCTGTGGCCAATTAGCCATGGGCTGAAAGCAACCCAACAGTATCACACTGAATCCTTTACACACATTTAGCCTCCAGCTGAAGAAACACAAAAAGGGGGGGTGCGATCCTTCCAACTTTCCATAGACAGAAAGTTTGCTTTGCGATCAAGCCAGATCCACAGCATAAAAGTGCAGCAAAACACATGAAACTCGTCCAGGAGCCTCAACGCCTCCAGGCTGCCTGCTACAGACATATGGCTTAGTGATCGAAGAGAACATCGCACCTTACAGGGAGCAGCACGTTGAGCACAGCCACACTATTGCAGGACGTGCAAACTGCCCACAAAGTGATCGATGAGCAAATAGAAAGTGCGATTCGGTGAATCGATGACTTTAAATCGGTCGGTGCTGGTTCTACAGGGCGTGTTCGGTATCCCCCCGCCCGCTTTTATACCCGCAGCAGTAAAGTTTTCTGTGCACACTTCCATGGCCCTCACCTTGACTCTCTGTGTGTCGCTCGCTGTGATTTGCAGCAAAGGGGAGGGGATGGAGCCCTGCAGCCCCAGATTTAAAGTACTGATTTGGAAGGACTTGTTTTTCTCGCAGCTCAGACAGTTGTTTGCCCAGGGGAGGCCGCGATTGGTGAGTTTCCTCTTTCATGCTCTCACATTTCCCCTTCTCCCTTTTGTTTCATTGAGTTTTTTTGTGAATGAAAGCCAGTCGGAGCCACGCCAGCCAATGGCTGCGCTCGGGCTACGCCCCACCAGCGGAAGGGGGAGGAGTGAGCACGTCGGCCAATCAGGGGCGGGGCTGGACAAGGTTTCATTGAGAAGTCTGGCACCCATTCATAAATCGGAGAGAGCGAACAGAGCGGACTTCATTGATGGAGGAGGGGGAGCTCAGAGTACACAGACACACGCTGTTCGCTCAACTTCCAGCAATGGCCGAGCGTGATCACAGTGTAAAGTAGGACACAATTCTACGCGGGCAGAGGAGGCGAGCAAAAACGAACAGACGACACGCGCTTTTATAATAAAAAGATGAAGTTTAATCTTTTCATATATTTACTTCTATGAGTTCTCCTTTCCTCAACAACATGATTTTTCCTTCCCTAAGTTCTCCTTTCCTCCTCAACAACATGATTTTCCTTCCCTGGGTTCTCCTTTCCTCCTTATGAACATGATTTTTTCCTTCCCTGAGTTCCCTTTTCCTCCTCATTAATATGATTTTCCTTCCCTGAGTTCTCCTTTCCTCCTTATTAACATGATTTTCCTTCCCTGGGTTCTCCTTTCCTCCTCGACACCATGACTTTTCCTTCCCTGAGTTCTCCTTTCCACCTTATGAACATGATGTTTCCTTCCCTGAGTTCTCCTTTCCCCCCTCATTAACATGATGTTTCCTTCCCTGAGTTCTCCTTTCCCCCCTCATTAACATGATGTTTCCTTCCCTGAGTTCTCCTTTCCCCCTCATTAACATGATGTTTCCTTCCCTGAGTTCTCCTTTCCTCCTCATTAACATGATGTTTCCTTCCCCGAGTTCTCCTTTCCTCCTCATTAACATGATTTTTCCTTCCCTGAGTTCTCTCCTCCCTCATCATTAACATGATTTTTCCTTCCCTGAGTTCTCCTTTCCTCCTCATCAACATGATTTTTCCTTCAATGAGTTCTCCTTTTCTTCCCTTATCATTAACATGATTTTCTCCTTCCTGGGCCCTCCTTTCCTCTTTAACATGATTTTTCAGGAAACATTGAAAATCCCATGCATTTCTACCAGGCCGATTCACACCTGGGCGTTTTTCAGCGCGTTTTGTGGCGCTGAAAATCGGCCTTCACTCGAAAAAGCACATGAGCTTCTTTTTGGCAGATTTCAGCGCTGATTCTGCTATAGACTTCAATGGAAACGCCCTTAAAAGTGCGTTTGAGCGTTTGTGTTAAAAAAACGCGTTTATACGTGCGTTTTTCACAGGCACACTGGGGACTGTCAGGCACACTTTTGGACCACTTTGCTGCATCATGGAGGACTCAGCAATGTGTGGCCTTGTGGATACAGAGACTTGTATCCGCATGGTGCAGGAAAAGCTATGCATATACGACCTGCAAGACGCAGGCTATAAAAATAGGAGGATGAGGAAGCAAGCATGGTCAGAAATTGGCCAAAAAATCTGGCGTGATTGGGAAACTTTCAGTCCCACCGTTAAAGAGGCCAACTATTGCTGCTATACATCGCTGTTTGTATAGATCCATGGTAATGCGTCTCTCCCCACACTCTACACTGTCAAACAAGGAAACCGGAAAAGGAAATGATGTATCTCAGGAAGTAGTTTTCATTGGACGGCTTCTATGAACACAAAAATGCCCCAAAAAAGTCCAAAAACGCACATAAAAAAAACTTGCCTTTATCCCGGCAATGTGTCAAGAATGTACACTGAGCTGTGTTTGTGCAGCTCAGCACACATTCTAAATAGGAATGCAATGTTTTGTTTTATTTTATTGCATAAGAGGCATAGCATGTTTCTACCTCAATAAAGTGCCCACCTACTTTTTTTTTTTTTTTTAAGATCTTCTTTAACCACTTGAAGACCTTCCTGGCCAGGCCATTTTGCAGTATTCAGTGCTGCAGTACTTTGACTGACATTTATTCAGTCATACAACGCTGTACTGAAACAAATTTTATACCATTTTTTGGGGACAGATAGAGCTTTCTTTTGGTGGTATTTAATCACCACTTTGGATTTTATTTTTTACTATATAACAAAAAAAGTACCCTACATTTTGAAGAAAAACCTGTTTCCCTATGAAATGCTATGAAACCGTTATTATCACCCTACGTTTTTGGTAAAATATAAAAGAAGGGGGGCATGTGGGGTAAATAGACATCAAACATGTCAACCATGTGTGCGCCCGCAAAATCGCAGAAAACGACCACACCCAAAATTAGCCATAGGCGACGCTTTAAATGCTTTTACAGCTCATTGTGTTTCAAATTTTTTTTTATTTGTCACTATTATTTTTAAGCTTTTTTTTATGCTTTCATTTTTTTAAACTTTTTTTTTTTTACACTTAACTTTATTGCTATAAACCCCCTATGTGATAGCCAATTCAAATAACAGGTCCTCTTTATGGAGACATCAGGGGTCTCCAAGACCCCTGATGTCACCTAGGGACCCCTAGAGAAGCTGATGAAGCAGAGATCTGCTTTAGCAGCTTCTCACCGGCATTGGTGACACTGAATGCGCAAGTGATGTAATATACATCACTTCCTGAATTTGGGGACAGGAGAGGAGATCCTGTACTGAACTGCCTTTGATCACCAGTAACAGAGTCACCGTGCCGGTCCCAGCCGCACTGGGCACAGCGGATCTTGGGACCGGCAGCGTCAGAGTCGGCAGTATGGGGGGGGGGGGGGCCACCCCGGCGCTATTAAA